TTTTACGTCTCGATGTGATTCCTTTACTTCGGGATTCGGGTAAAACCATGGGTAATAATAGCTATAGACAAATTTTTAGCTTTTCAGAGGTATTCATCACAAAAGTAAAAGTACATGAAAATGTCCTTCGCTTATGCAGCATCACGTACGGTACAACTCTCGGCACAAATTCAGCTTTTCGATGGAGGTACAACTCTGTCTTGAGCTCTTTAATCAACCAAATCATTATAAATTGGGTTCAATTAAAGTACCAACCAAGTTAAAGTCTAACTTTAACAAGGTCCCTTCTTCAGGTTTCATAAATTCTCGACTGAGACTAGGATTTGTCAATGCCACTTTAGGTCTGGCACTTTTAAGTTCTAAGTTATAATCACAAATTTGAAATTTGCGTACATTAAGTCGGTCATAATAATGTTCCATGTGAATTGTGGATCTCTTTTGGCTGTTCGAGACGCACAATGATTACCTAAGATCCCCCAAATGATGAAAGATTGATCTATGATAAGTCTAGACGAAACGAGTGAACCGAGTAAGAAAGTGAGACGAGCACTAGGACCTGACACAGGCCGTATCACATTGTTGGAAGAAAATTCGTAGCTCAATGTCTGACATGGGCTGCGACACGGACATTATGGCTGTGTCGCGGGCACAGGTTAGTTTATAACTTTATTTATCTTACCTATTTTTATTAGAAAAAGACCCATGAACAGTATAAAAATTATATTTAACCTATTTTGAAGGGGAGATTAGAGAAGAACGTGATATACAAGAGAATAAATCCTTGAAGACAAAACGAGGCAATTGGAATTTGGGAAGCAAGAAGATCCAACTAGTAAGGAGTCGAGAAGATCAAGAGGTCAACTAGATTAATAGTTTTTTCCGTTATTTTTTCCTTTAAACTTTTATTTAACATGTTGGTTTCTACTATGCCTATGTAATTGATTTCGAACATGAGTTGATTCTAGGAATCGGGAGTAAAATATGTTGGGATTTAGGATGATTTGTTATATTTAATCATCTTTTTTTGAACCCTAATCAAATATTTTGTTATTACTTATGTTTAGTAGTGATCTCTGCTTTTAACATATTTGATAATTCTGTTCATAATTCGAGAGATGAGTACAATAAGACATATACTTGACGCTATTTTTACTTGCTTGAATCGAGAGATCGATAGGTTGTTGTGAGGATATTTGATAATTTGGTGTTATTTGGAGTTGAATTAAGTGTGTTGAGCATAAATGTTTTTTTCTTATTTCTTTGTTCTTGATTTCTTTTTTCTTTTGATTTTATTTTCTTAGATTAATTTATCCAAATTGTCTAAATAATTGACGCTACCATAATCTAGTAATTGATATTTTAATTATTTGGTCTAATGGAAAACAACCTTGATTGCTACTTCAGCAGTGAAATCGTACACTAGCGGTCGAGCTTTAAAAATATAGGTGAACAATAGTTCAAAAACTTTGGACACAGATAGAAGATGATAGAGAACTCAATTTGCATGCAATGCACATATGCTCCAAAAGCTTATCATACGAAATAACTCTCACCATAATTCACACAAATTAATAATCCAATGCAAGCTGCAACAAGTATATCTCAGTGTTATTAGTTACCCCAAGAAACCAAATGGAAAAAGATATTTGTTCTCTCTTTATTTCTGAACTGAAGTGAAACGGAACGGGTTCACCCAAGATAATTCCCGGGAACCCCAGCGCAAAATAAAAAAACTAATAGCCCCAGTAATCATTTCTAATTTCGTCATCAAACTTCTTCTTGAGCTCAGGATGCTTCGCGAAGTACTCATCAGCAGTCATGGTACTAAGCTTTTCCTGTTACACCAAAATTAAGGTATGAATAAACAAACACAAAGTGCATGACGTGTTTGTGTTGCGCGTGTGGCAAATTAAAAGAACAAATAGAAGATCACCTTCAGCTCTTGAACTTCTGCAATTTCCTTTTCTAACCTTTCAGACTCCTTCCACGACTTTTCCTCAACCTCTTTCAGCTCTACCAACTGCAACTCTCGAGTAAAGAAGAAATAAGATTTTCTCCAAAGTTGTTATTTCAAATATAACAGCCGAGCAAGTTCGAGGAGAATTCAAAATAATCGCATCTCCAGAACACATGTCCTGTAGGGAATTAATATGATATAGTTTTGAATGTTGTGAGTGCTTATGCTTATTTTAGTTGGTGTACCCCTTATGAACAACAGTTCCACACAACATACTTCTGTCAAAGATGCTCTAGAACGCATCGACTGGAGTAAGTCAGGGATAGTTATTCAAAAATGCAAATTCAAAGGATGACGTCTCACTAACTTGGGATCCTCAAGATGTCAATTACAAAACAGATGGCTTCTTACACATTTCTCAGTGATTAAAATAGCGCGCGGCGAGCCGAGGCGACAAGGCTCCTATTTGCCATGGCGTGAGGCGTGCGGCGAGGCGCCCGCCTTATGAAAGCGAGGCGAGCCATTGTACAAAAAATAAAAATATATGTATGTGTGACATTTTACCAAATTATGACACAATTATGTATAAAAATAAATTATAATAACTAATAATCATGCAACAAGACACCACACATTAAACTTAAAAAAAAACATTAAATAAAATAAAATAAAATAAAAATAACATTAAACAAATCAAAAATAGAGATAAAATCAACCCACATGGTCCCAATTAAAATAACCATGAACCCATCCCACAATTCCACATTATGCCCAATTCTCAATTTCAATAATAATATAATACTCCACATTAAAAAACAAGTTAGTGCTCCACATTCATAAATAAAAAAAAAAATAATAATAATAATAATAATAATAATAATAATAATAATAATAATAATAATAATAATAATAATAATAATAATAATAATAATAATAATAATAATAATAAAAACATGTTAACACACCCCCCTCCCCCCGTTCGTGAAGAATGGCTGAAGCAAGAAAGGAAAAAAGAAAAAGATGAAGAAAAGAAAAAACTGGAACATGGACCACTCGCCGTCGCCGGCTAGCTGCCGGAATGTGGTCGCCGTCGCCGGTGGAACAAAAGGCACATGGTAATTTTTAGTTTGGTAAGTAATTTTAAGTTTGAATCTCCCGTTATGAAACCCTAATAATACGTAAATTACCCTGTCTCGCCTCATCTTCATAAGGCGTCGCCTCGGGCTACGCTGCGCTACATCCGAGGCGACGCCATGGCGTCGCCTTTTACAAGTCCGCCTCGCCTCAAGGGTATGAGGCGTCGAAGCCCCGCCTCGCCTCGCCTTGCGCCATGGCGGCGCCATGGCGCGCTATTTTAATCACTGACATTTCTATCTACTCTTCATAAAATCATGTACGGTTTCAAGTAATGTTGATATGTTAGCAAGAATTCATACCTCTCGAGTATAAATAAAATTGTCATTTACAAAAGCTGTAGCACCATCAAAAGCTCTTACGTTTATTAGACTACATAAGGTATCATAAGATTATAATTACAATATTCAAGAAAAGGCTACAACAATGCCCAAATTGCAAGAAAGTGCTACAACATTGTAAATAGGAGTGTCTCACCAGGGCATCAAACTTGGGTTTGTATTCAGGAGTGACTTTGTCAACATACTGGGGAATCTTAATTTCTGCATTAATATAAATATAGACATGAAATCAGATAAAGAGATGTTCAAAATTCTGCATTGAGTACTCAACAAAATGCTCCAGCAACTAATCGAGAATTACATCTTCCAGATTCAATCATGACAGAAATTTCAGCTAATAATTTTGCTAAACAATTGCCTGACACAAGAACTCAGATGTTATGGTGACTAACTTTATAAACACAAAGTTACGATCATAAAATTGAATAATCATATATTAAGAAATCAATATAAAACTTAAAAAAATGATTATCTCAGCTATTTCAAACATGACATTATCATGGCATAGAATTTGACCATGGCATGAGGCAAACATGAGATCCCGGACACTGATATATGGTAACTGGGTCAAACACACTCGAAAAGAAAAAAACACTACTAATTGATATAGAATATGTTTCTGGTTTTATCTTTGTTACCACAACTCATCAGAACAAATTATATTACTGTATAGACATTATTCATTGGCGCAATGGCGTCAAGTTCAACACAAGTATTTGCATGGGACCTACACTGTTTAAAAAGCTTTAAATACTATATTCGCATTATACAGGGAACAAAAAAAAAAAAA